TTTTGATTGTTTATTAAATAAAGACACTTTCTCTCACATGGTATGATTCTTTGTCCCGTAAATTCTAATGTAAGAGTTATATTTAGCCAAGGTCCTTCATAATGCATTTTTTAATCTTTTCTTATTTTAATTATTGAAAAGTAAGGATTATAGGGAACACATTAATTTTTCTATAAATATAATAACCCCCTGTTAATCAAGATAAATATTGGAGGGTTTAGTTTATATACATAATAGGCCTTACCGCTAAACTTTTCCATACTAGCACAAGTAATTGGGCAAAAAGATTGAATAAAGCAGAAAAACAAAATTATGAACTTGATGACTATTTACGTCAGGTATTAGTAGGAAATATACTCGGAAGGGTGGGATATAAAAAATAACTAACCCAAAACCAAAAATATAATTAACAAGAATTGATAAAAAGATAGTTTAATATAAATCAAGTCTTAATTGACATGATATAATAAGTTTAAGTCCAATGTTTAATTATATTAATATGTTAAAATTCAACAAATGTGCAGGCAACCTTTATCGGTTTTATAACAGTAAGAGACTAACTATTGAAGAGAGAAATTCTTTTTCTGTTTCATCTGATTTAAATGAAATACTAATAGGTATAATTTTAGGGGGATCTTTCTCTTAAAAGAAAATCTCTTGTTCATAACACTTATCTATATTTTGAACAAGGACTAATTAATGAAGCGTATATTTTACATCTTTATGAGTTATTTAAAGATTATTGTTCTTCAGAGCCTAAATATAATGCCCGAAAACCAGATTTTCGGACAGGTAATATATATACTAGAGTATATTTTTTAACTAGATATTTACCTTGTTTCAATTATTATTATGATGTGTTCTATGTAGATGGAGTAAAAAGAATTCCTTTTAACATTGGTGAAATCTTAACTGCTAAAAGTTTAGCTTATTGGGCAATGGACGATGGAAGTAAAAAATCTTCAGGATTTATTTTTTGTACAGATTCCTATACTTTAGAAGAGGTTCAATTATTAATTAAAGTTTTAAAACAAAATTTTGATTTAAATTGCTCTATTCACAAAAGTAAAGATAATTATAGAATTTATATTTTGATAGATTCAATGAATAAATTTAGATCTATTGTTACTCCCTATTTCCATGAATCAATGATGTATAAACTGGAAGTTTAATTATATATTTTGGTTTTTATTAATAAAATAAACACCCCCCTTTCACAAGATTTTCTGAAAATTTTAATGTAAGAGTTGTATTTAGACAAGGTTCAATTAATGCATCTTATTTATTACATTTATATGAGTTATTCCAAAAATTTGTAACTAACCCACCTTCAGTTTCAACAATATTAGATTCAAAAACAGGGAGATCTAGATATAATCTTAGTTTTTCTACTTTAGCTCTTCCTTGTTTTAATGAATTATACGAATCTTTTTATGAAAATAAAATAAAAAGAATCCCAAATAATATCGCCGATCTTTTAACTTCAGTAAGTTTAGCATATTGGATTATGGATGATGAGAGTTTTACTGGAAGCGGATTAAAAATTTCTACGAATTCTTTTAGTTCTAAAGATTTGGATTTATTAATAAATGCATTAGAAATTAATTTTTCTATAAAAGCTTCAAGAAATGTTCAATATAGAGATAGATCTCAATATACTTTGTATATTACAAAAGCCCAATTACCTCTCGTTTCTAATTAAAGCTTAACTTAGAGAATAATAAAAAAAAAATAATATATTAAGATGTAATAATAAGAAGTATAAAATAAATTAATGGTTTATAGATTACATGTAAATAAGAATTAATATTTTAAGATCATATGCAAATGATTACAATTATTTATAATTAATACAATAAATGTTCAAGTCTAACATATATTTTTTTATTCGTAAATAAAAAATACAATTCTTCTATAAAGTGTGTCAAGTAAATAAGTATTCTATTAAAAAAAAAAACGATCGAGTTTAATTAACCCAATCAGTATTAATAGGAGCCATAAGATGGCTTTTTTGGGAACAAAAATTTATAAAAATTTAATATGAAAAATTCAATTATAATATTAAAACAAAAAATGGGAACAAACAATAGTGGATCTTTTGAACCAGCAGTTATATACGATAATGCTAGTATAGAAAAAAGTAAAATTCTTAAAGAAAATAAAAGAAAAGCAGGGATATACCTTTGGATTCACAAAGAATCAGATAAAAAATATGTAGGTAGTGCTGTAGATTTAAATAAACGGTTATATAAATATTATTCCTCATATTATTTAAATAAAGAACAAACCTACATATTTAGAGCAATAAAATATCATAATCATTCTAAATTTAGTCTATCCATTCTTGAATATCTAGATATTACTAACTTATCTATAGAAGAATCAAAAAAATTACTTTTAGAATGAGAACAATTTTATATAGATTCTCTAAATCCTGATTATAATATTTTAAAAATAGCTTGTAGTCCTTTAGGATTTAAACACTCAAAAGAGACATTAGAAAAAATGTCTGGTAAAAATCATCACATGTTTGGGAAAATCGGGAAAGACAGTCCTAGATTCAATATATCACATACAGAAGAAACGCGATTAATTTTAAGTGAAAAAAATAAAGGAAAAGTTTTCACAGAAGAGCATAAAACAAATATAAGTTTAGCTTTAAAAGGGAAGAAAAGACTGAATGTAAGATCAGGAGTAAATCATCCCTTTTATGGTAAAACCCATTCTTTAGAAACACTCAAAAGAATGAGTGAAAAAAAAATTAAAAAAGTATTTGTTTATACAAATGATAACCCTTCTACTTTATTATATGAATTTCCTTCCTATACTGAGGCTGCTAAACACTTTAACTGTAACCAATCAACTATTTCTAGAAATATTAATACTAATAAATTATTTCAAAAAAAATTTATATTATCCTCATCCCTTCTTTCTTAAATTTTCCATTCAAATGATTTCTTTTTATATAACTCTTATGAAAGATAAATCTAAAATAAATTATAACAATATATTATTCGACGAGTTTTTATAGCTTTAATAAAAATGGGAAGTTATTGCTTCTTTAACGAGCCGACTGAGCAATTTATATATTATACTAATAATAATCATTCTCACCGAAATTGTCAGTAAAAACGGTGTGTAACTCAGTCTGTAAAAATTTTTTATAAAATAATAATTAATATTTTATAATATTAATTTATATTATTAAGTTAAGAAGTGATCTTTAGATCCCTGGTAAAAGATTATATGCACCCTGACATGTTATATAAATTAGGCCCTAGTTTATAATAATAATGATCTGCTTCACGAACACGGGTCAAACAATCCACTTGGGATAAATTCAAATGTAGATAGAATAAGATTCCACCCGTACTATAGCTTTAAAGATTTAGTAGGTGTTTTTGTATTCTTTTTCATATTTGCATATTTTATATTCTTTAACCCAAATTTTTTTGGAGAAAGTGATAATTACATCCCAGCTAATCCTTTAGTAACACCTATATCTATAGTTCCTGAATTCTATTTATTACCATTCTATGCGATATTAAGATCTATCCCTCATAAATTACTAGGGGTTATAGGGATGGTAGCCGCCATCTTAATCTTACTTGCAGCTCCTTTCTTGGACACATCTAGAATCAGATCTATGCAATTTAGACCAATCATGAAATTCTTCTTCTGGCTATTCGTGGCCAATTTCTTGATCCTGGGTTGGATCGGTGCTAACCACCCAGAGTCACCTCTTGTTGAAATAGGTCAAGTTTCAACTATCTTCTATTTCTCTTACTTCTTAGTAATCTTACCAGTAGTAGGAGTTATAGAAAATACGTTATTTGATTTAGGTACTAAAACTAAATCAATTAACACCCCCCCCCCACCAAAACAAGGGGATATTAATAAAATAATAAAACCTTAGTCTTTACTCGTAGATACAATAATAATTCTAAACTACCCAAAACATTATCTCTTTCTGAGATATACGTTAATTATGGTTGGATGATAAGATATCCTCATGCGAATGGAGCCGCATTCTTCTTTATATTTATATAGATCCTTGGTAAAAGATATTATGCGTCCTGACATGTTCTATAAACTAGGGCCTAGTTTATAATAGTAATGATCTGCTTCACGAGCACGGGTCATACAATCCACTTAGAATAAATCCAAATGTAGATAGAGTAAGATTCCACCCATACTATAGCTTTAAAGACTTAGTAGGTGTTTTTATATTTTTTTTTCATATTTGCATATTTTATATTCTTTAACCCAAATTTCTTTAGAGAAAGTGATAATTACATCCCAGCTAATCCTTTAGTAACACCTATATTAATAGTTCCTGAGTTTTATCTTCTTCCATTCTATTCGATATTAAGATCTATCCCTCATAAATTACTTGGGGTTATAGGGATGATAGCCATCCTCTTAATCTTACTTGCAGATCCTTTCTTGGGCACATCTAGAATCAGATCTATGCAATTTAGACCAATCATGAAATTCTTCTTCTGGCTATTCGTGGCCAATTTCTTGATCCTGGGTTGGATCAGTGCTAACCATCCAGAGTCACCTCTTGTTGAAATAGGTCAAGTTTCAACTATCTTCTATTTCTCTTACTTCTTAGTAATCTTACCAGTAGTAGGAGTTATAGAAAACCTGCTATTTGATTTAGAAACTAAAAACAATTAATTAACACCCACCTCTTCCGTTACGCAGGCCTTTTATAGAAATATAATAATAAAGAGATGAGATACTAATTTCATGGTAAAGCCCTCATCTTTAAACAGATTGACTGGAAGTTTAATCCTTTTTATCTTTGGATATTATAATTTTATACCATTTTTTTTTATTTAAAGACTTAGATAGCCCCGTTGTGTGGGCCTTTTTATAAAAATATTATAATAAAGAAATGAAATATTAGTTTTATGGTAAGGCTTTCAGCTTCAAATAAATTGACTGGAAGTTTAATTCTTCTTATCTTAATATTATATTTTTACCCTAGTAGTGCCCCGATAGCTTAATGGTTAAAGTAGAGGTTTGAAAAACCTTTGACGGTTGTTCGATTCAACCTCAGGGCAAAATTTTTAAAAGACAAGAGCTTAAGGTTAAGCTCTTTACCCTTAATTGGTATGAGGGGAGTTTGAGCCTTCCTTGTCTTTCTTAAGTTATATACACAATTTGTATTTAATAGGATTCTTTAATTTTTTAATTGAGCTAAACATTTAAATTAGTTTAAATGCTTTGATTATAATAAATTAAAATACTAATTTAGTTATATACAGTTAACTCGTAAAATATTAATATAAACGAGATATCTAAATACCTTAAATTTATAACTAGTCAGATGTAAAATATTTTGTATATAATACATAAACAAATATTTATACAGTTTTTATAATTTTGTTAAAGATTATACCATATGATCATCAATGATATGGAGACATATATATTTTAATAAACATGAAATTTATATTTACTTATTTTTCAAATTTATCTTTTTCGGGAATCCAAGATTATTCTGTAGTATTTAGTACTTTTATCCCTATAATAATTTATCCTAATGCAGATACACACACACAAATTTAAAATTTTATCTGATAATAAAGGTAAGACTGGTATCTACCAATGGACACATATAGGATCAGGTAAAATGTATAGAGGTTCATCTCTGGATTTACCTAAAAGATTGAAGGATTACTATTCTAAAAGTTATTTAAAACAAGCGAATAGCTATATTTGTAGTGCAATTATCTATCATACTCACTCAGCCTTTTCTTTAAGTATTCAAGAATATCTAGAGATTTCAAATTTATCTAAAAAAGAGGCACTACAATTAATTTTAGAGCGTGAGCAGTATTATCTTGATTTGATTTTTTTTTTTCGGGGGGGGGGATGAACCAAATACATATAATATATTAAAGGTAGCAGGATCTCGATTAGGCTCTAAGCATTCCGAGGGAACAATTGCTAAAATGAGCGGGGGGGGGGAATAATCATTTGTTTGGTATAATAGGACAAAATAATCATTTATTTGGAAGATCTCATTCTATTGGGATTAAAGCTTTAATGAGTGAAGCCCTTAAAGGTGATAAAATCCCCGAGGGGTGTTAGGGAAAACTCATTGAGACTTTAGCTAAAATTAGTGCTATTAAAGGGACTGCTGTATATGTATATGATACTCAAAGCACACTTGTAAATACTTTTTATTCAGCAAATAAAGCAGCTGAATATTTTGATTGTTCACATCCAACAATTATTAAGTATGCAAAAAATAATAAATTATTTAAAAGTAAATGGTATCTATCTTATCCCAAAGATTTATTAACAAGTACTAGCAAGGGCTCTTCAGATAATGACTAAGTATGCATATTATTAATTAATATTGTTTATTAATCAATAGCAAGTAATTCATAGGCCGTTTCAGCTTTCTTTCCAACAACGTTACTCTTGTTAATTATACGAGAACAGTGATGACGCTAAAGTATGCGAGAATCTCTCCGCCATTTCATTCATTTAAGAGTCAATTATCTATATAATCAGTTAACACCCCCCCCTACTCTCGGGCAATTACCTGTGTAATCAGTTAACACCTCACCTCCCTTGGGCATTTTTGTTTTCTTTAGTTAATAAATCTTAAATATTTGTAGATTAAATTTTTAATAATAAGAGTATTGATAAGTTTAGTATACTTAATAATCTTTAATTTGATATTTATTATAAAATTAAAAAAAAAATTATAAATCATGTGGTAAAGTAGAGGTTTGAAAAACCTTTTTCGGTTGTTCAATTCACCCTCGGAGCAAAAATAAAGGATAACAGGCCTCCGGTTTTTTTTTTATTAATATGTTAGTATATTCTTTAATGTTAGTATATTCTTTAATGTTAGTATATTCTTTAATGTTCTATAATTTAAAAGACTTAAATATTATAAAAAATATGTATTTAGGGTTATTTAATCTATCTTAAATATTATAAAAATTACATTTAAGATAGTTTAACTATTACTATATTTTATAATAAATTTATTTAAATAGTATAAAAATATTAATCCTAATTAAATTAGTTTAAAAATATTTCTCCAAATTAAATATCTATTCTTAATCTTAATTTTATTTCTTTTAAAGAAAGGGAAAGTTTAAAAGAATAAAGCCTTTAAAAGACCATCTTATTAAAGATTAATACAAAAAATTTTCCATTTAAAAAGGTTAATTTTAAAATATCCTCCCTCCCCCCCCCCTATTTTTTTTTACGAGCCTAGGCTTTATTAAAACTTGTATATGATTAAAATTTTTCATCTTTTTAGAATAAAAAAGATAAAAACATTCAAAAAAAAAAATTTTTTTTTTCTTTTTTTATAATCTTAATATAATCATTAAAGGATTTGGACCTCTATTAGTAGTTTTAGAAGAACTGTGCTTTTATTAGGACTACTGACCCGTCGTACACTTTTAATATTCTAAATAGAAAGTTTAATATAATTATTATTTTATCAATATAATTTTTTTATACAACATTTTTGAAATTTTGAAGCTTCAATACCTGACAACGTCCACATAATTTTGTAAATTATAAAGATTTAGCTTAAAACCTAAGGTTTAGCCCCATAGTAGGGAGGTACATTTAGTAATTGATAACTGTAAAAAAACAAAAGATGGGATAAATAAGGTTTAAAAAATTATGCCTTTATTATTAAAAATTTTAGTAATGACGAGATCCCTTAGCTTATCATCTTTTATCAATAATCTTAATTTACAGAATTACCTTTCTCATATTACTATACAGTAGTTTATTATCATATAATAAACTATCTGAAATATCAATATCTTCAAAAATATTTCTATCTTCAGAAATATTTTTATCTTCAAATATAGAGTTATTAAGAGGGTTATTTAATCAACTTATATATTAACATATTGATATAATATTCTCAACTTTTGTACCAATTATGATCTATTCAAATGAGGATACAGAAAAAGCAAAATGATATAAGACAGTAAAGGCAGAGTTACTACTTATATGTGGACTAATCTATTATCAGGTAAAAGATACGTGGGCTCAAGCATTGACATATCAAAACGAAAGTCTCAATATTATAATAAAAGTTTTTTTTTTTAATCGTAATAAAAACTTATATATTTGTAATTCTATAATTTCTCGTACTTATTCTGCATTTTTCTTTAACTATTCAAAATATATAGATATTTAAATTATATCTAAAGAAAAAGCTAAAAATTTGAAACTTAAGCGGGAACAACTACATCTTGACACTTTAGGGGGAACAACTACATCTTGACACTTAGGCTGCAAAGTTCAATATACTTAAAGTAGCAGGGTATTCATTAGGTTCTAAACATTCTCAGCTATCCTTATATAAAATAAGTCTTGCTTTAACAGGTAATTTTTGAACCCTATGTACGGGAGAATATAGCGAGAAAAACCCTATGTGCGGCAAAATATACGAGAAAACCCGTATGTATGACAAAATATTCGATAAAAGCCCTATGTCCCATCAAACTCCCCCCCCCCTGAGACCCCTAGGAAAATGGGTGAAGCTAAAAAAGAAACTAGTTTTTCTTCTGAAACTAAAGCTAAAATTTCTAAAGCCTTGTTAGAAAAATACATTTACCTGAAAGTCTAGTTAAATGAGTGAACCCCAAAACTGGTAAAAACTATTCTTTATTTAATAAATCGATTTCTAACGAAACTTAAGCTAAAATTTATAAAGCTTTGAGTAAAAAACCCGGGACCGCAGGGCCCGGGGGCCCTGGCGGTATTTGTGTATTATTTTGATCTAATTTTAAATGAAATATTACTACATAAAACTTTTAATAGCTATCCAGATACTTTAAAATACTTAAATTGTACCAAACGGGCATTATTTAATTACGTAGATAAAACAAGTTATAAAAAAAAAAACGATGGATTTTATCAACAACGGTATATTCGTCTTAAAGATTCTTTTGAGTCTAAAAAATAACTAGTTATTGCTGACATATGGTTGTATTATTCTATAGTCAATAGTAGAAACTATAGATAAATTTTAACTTTTTTTTTTCTTAAAATTTTGTGTTAAGGGATTAACATAAATACGTAAATTTATTTGGGATTATAACCCTAAATAATCTAACCCCCCCCTGGGACCGTTTTATATGCACAGAAAGCTTTATATTAAACTTTAGTTTTACTATTAAATTGTTCAAGACCGACCTCTATTGGGTTAAAAATAGATAATTAGCACTTGTAACTTAATTGGAAAAGTATAGATCTTCTAAATCTAACAATAATGGTTCAAATCCATTCATGTGCTTTATCCCGTTAAGCTAAATGAATTTTAGTGTGGAAAAAAAAACTAGTCCCAAAAACAAAAAATGTTAGAAATCCGTTAGTTTTCCGTTAAGAAAAATCAAACTTCGGCTTCGCCTTTAGAAACCTTTCCTTTTATAAAAGGAGGAGCCTGCCCAATTTTTGTCTTGATTTATAATTAGACAATAACCCCACCCCCCCCCCCCACCCTTCTCCCCTCTTTATGGCTTTCTTTAAATTTAAATATGATTAGTAAATATATGGATATAATTATTGCAGTTTTCAAAAAAACTCACCCTCTTATAGAGAGAGTTAATTTTTCCATTTCTACTTATCTGTACGAGTTCTTTAACATTGCCTAATGCCCTCTAAAATCTGATAAATGCATAGCAGCCCATACCAGGGTATAGTTGTGTCGATAATAGGGCGTAATCCTTGGTGTATAGACAAACCAGTAAATGGTTCTACAATAAGTTTAACTAAATTTATTATTAATTTAATAGAATTTTATTATAATATGATACATAAGACAAGAGCTTTACGTAAAGCTCTCTGCCCCTAAAAGATGTGATGGGAGTTTGAGTGCCCCTTATCTTTAATTATTACTTTATATTAAGGTAGTAATTTACTAAGTTGTATACAGTATTTGTTTATAGAAAAATTATTTAATTCTTTATAAAAAATTAAAGTACTTATTTAGTTAAAAATAAAACTAAAAAAAACTTATTAGGTGTGGCAGTTAATTCTAGCCTTAAATTTATAACTAATCAGATGT